TCCTGGCGCGTCGCGTCCGTACAGTATGGTCACGTGTGACGTTGTCGTTGTCCTGCAGGTCTGCTGTTGGCCGCGGTCGTGCTGGCCTGCTGCGCCGCCGCGCCCGCCCTGGCGTCGTCGTGCGACTTCCAGGCCGAGTGCCGGCCCGGCGAGACCTACCGCCTCGCCATCCCCTGCGAGGGCAAGTGCTCCAACTACATCCAGTGCCAGGACGGCGAGGCGGCCGAGAAGAAGTGCGGCAAGTTCCTCTGGCAGCAGAAGCAGTTCGACGCGCAGGCGCTCGAGTGCGTGCGGACGACCGACTGCGACTGGTGGAAGAAGGTCGTCTCCACCACGACCAGCACCAGCACGACCACGGCAGCGTCCACCAGCACCCCCGTGAGCACGCCCACCACCACGCCCACCAGCACGCCAGCTCCCGAAACCACGGAGGCGACTTCCCCTCCAACCGTAAGCGCAGTGTGTGAATCACGTTGATTAACATGCCGAAATTAATTGAATAGTCATAATTAATCCGCTTGATTTTTGTTTTCTTTTCAAGGTGACTCCAGAGCCGAGCAGTTCCTCTTCCAGTGAGCAACCCACCACCACCCCCGCCCCCGGCACCACGCCTGCCCCCAGCAGTACGCCACCCCCATCCGAGTCGGGCGCGCCCGCCCCACTGGCCGCGCTGGGACCGGCGCTGCTCGCCGCCAGCATCGCTCTCATCCTGTAGACGCTCTGATGTGTCGCCCTCGAGTCACACCAAAAGAATCTCATTTCCTCTCGATTTTGACTGTAATTTAATACGCAGAGACAAACTGTTGACGATTGCTGCCCATTGATACAAGCTGTGATGTGTGTTGTGAATATAAAGACTGTAAATAAACTTTATATATAGTTACCTAAAGATTGTTTGTGTGATGATGATTTTGTGATGCCTTCTTGGTATTCTCAGTTTAAATTCCAATCTCACATCCGGTCATACACTTCACTTAGATTGACATATCGAGATGACCGAAGATAAGGATTTAGAGGATCAAGTCAAAAGACAGACATAAGACGCAGTTTCGTCAGTTGACGCCACTGAAGACGTAAAGGTGGACGCTATGCGCAGCACCGTGCTTGTGTTTGTGGGTGAGTTTAGAAACATTTCAGTCGGTATTTCGTTCGTACCGTAGTCCCGTTTAACATACAGAAAAACAGTTAATTATTCCAAGTACAATTCTGACCGCAATCAAGTTTTGCTCTCGAAACAAGGCAAGACAAGAAATTTACTCTCGATTAAAAAAAGAATCGGGCCCTAAGTCAACTCTTTGACTAAATAATGACACCCTTTCTTGAAGCAGCGGATCCTGGACCATTAAAAAATATAGCCAATTATAAAAGCATCTCTTAGCAACCAAAAAACTTGATACTATTTTGAAATCTCTTTAACGGAATTTGAGTCAAAATATTTCAAAGAGTTGAACGCAGTAGTTGAGGTAGGGCAGAATTTAAAGCACATGTATGGCAAGCACCGAGGATACTTCAGGAACGTCGGTGCTCCTGTTTCAGTCCTGACGGCGCTTGCTTTCCAAGGGGCGCCAGGTGTCCCGGTCCCGGACAGGGGACTCCAGGGACTCCAGGGACTCCAGGGAGACGTTTGCAGTCCCGTGGACTGCTCCAGCGGGCCCCGAAAGCAGCTCGTGCCGGGTAACGTGCACGAGTGCGAGAACGGGGTATACTGCAAGTGCGGAGACAACAATGTTCCCTATCGGAGAAAATGCTCTAAGCTTGCGTTCCTCAAGAGACGCTTCAATCCAGATTCCCAGGACTGCGAGTTCACTTTCGACTGCGAAAAGTGGATGAGGGACCATCCACTGACAACGAGAGCACCACCAACCAAGCCGACCACGGTTGCGACACCAAGCACAAATCCGGCGACTACCACAACCGCACGCACAACTACAAGTTCGACATCAACAGAGCACACAACATTGAGCACCGAAGTCCCCACACAAACGCCATCAACGTCCCCAGCGACCGCCTCTCCTTCGGTTGAGACTACGGTCACTGCGTCTCCTTCGACTGAGCCTACCGTGCCCGCATCTACTTTGACTGAGACTCCAGTCACTGTACCATCTTCAACCTCGACCACGATAACAGCGTCTCCTTCGGCTGAGACTACCGTCACTGCGTCTCCTTCGACAGAGACTCCTGTAACCGATTCATCTTCGACTGAAACCCCTTTCAACACGTCTCCTTCGACTGAGACTACCATGCCCGCATCTCAATCGACCGATACATCCCCAGCCTCGTCTCCATCGACTAAGACTTCCCCGATCGTGTCTTCCTCAACTGGGACACCAGTCACGGCACCCTCTTCAACTGAGACCACAGTAACAACGTCTCCTTCAACTGAGACTACGCTGACTGCGTCCCCTTCGACTGAGACTCCTGTAACCGATGCCTCTTCGACTGAAACCCCCTTGACCACGTCTCCTTCTACAGCCACGCCTAACTCGACTGAGACTCCCGTAACCGACGCTCCTTCGACTGAAACCCCTTCGGCAGCCACTCCTTCGACTGAGACTCCTGAACCCACAATGACCTCTACCGAGACTCCAGTCACAGCGTCGCTCTCGACCGCGACTGCCGATCCCGTATCTTCTTCGACCGATGCATCACTGTGGCCGCCGCAGCCTCCTCCAGAATGCACCTCTTCAGTGGGTGACATTATGTTGCCCTATCCGCCTGACTGCAAGAAGTACGTCCGCTGCTACAACGGCACGTCGTGGCTGATGGACTGTGCTCCTGGAACTCTGTTCAGCTACAGGGAGCAGACTTGCGGACACGCTTGGGATAGTGATTGTTCAACCGAAACTCAATAAATATATTATGATGAGTATGACAATTCTGTTCGTTTTCCGTGTTGTGTAGTGTATACTGTATCGACTGCCCCCCCCCCCCTTTTCCTTTATCCTAATTGTCCCGAAGAAGAATGTTGGTAGGCGGTACGAACTCGGTACGAACTGCAATGAAGGACCTACGCGCAAAGAAGAACAGACGGAAGATGGCCGCCGCGGCGGGTGGTGGGGGTAGGAACATAACAAAACCTCATTTGTTTAGCAGTCGACGCGTTCAGAAACTGACGCTATTTTGGTTGCACCTTGTCTCTAAATTATGACAAAATTAATATTCGACACGTACACAACATTTGTTATTAAATTTACAATATGTTTGGTGCTATAATACGTTCACACTTCGAAATAGCGCCAAATGAGGTTTTGTTCCCCATGGGAACAGAATGGGCTATCTACGTGGACTCGACGTGTACTACGTGGATACATACACGTAGATCTATACCTTTAGCCTCAAAGTGGATTCAACGTAGAACTCTAGTGGATTGAACTATGGGAACAATTGTTTCTACCCCCACCACCCGCCGCGGTGGCCATCTTCCTTCTGTTCTTCTTTTCGCATAGGTCCTCAATAACAGGCCAAAATTCAAATTAGCGACAAAATGTTAATTCACTCTCTCCCGCCGAAGACAGGCCTTTATCAGTCTGTCTTGGCGGGTGGATTAATTGCATATCAGCCTGCACTGATAGGTTATCGGTCCGAAGGGAGCTGCACGGGTGGGCAGGGAGAGGACTGGCAGTGCTCGCCCTACCCTCGGCAGACAGACACGCACCGCCCCAGCGCCTCGCCGGCCACCATGACGACCAGCGGCACCATCGGTACGACCACACGACCAACCAACGTCTTGTGTAGACAAAGGTGTGACAACAGCCCCTTTGATTTGTTGCAGCCCTGCTGTGCGCGCTGTGCGCCCTCAGCGCCCTGCCGGCACACGCCAGGGTGTTCGACGTGCGGCCAGTCGGCGACGATGTCAACCCCTACTGCCTGACGTGCGTCGTCACCGAAGAGACTAAGGATCGCTACCAGCTGATCCGCGGGGACGACGAGGTGAAGCATTGCACGGACCACCTCTACTGTGACTGTGTGGAGCACAAGCAGCTGAAGTGCACAGGAATCATGAGTGCGTGGGAATCGTTAAATCCGGACAAACAAGAGTGTGCACTGGGATTCAGCTGCGACAACTGGCTGCGTGATCACCCTACGACCGCGGCTCCAACGTCCACCTCGCCTATGACTCCTACGACCACCCCGACTGGCACTCCTGCGACCGGCTCGACTGGCACTCCTGCGACCGGCTCAACTGGCACTCCTACGACCACCCCGACTGGCACTCCTGCGACCGGCTCGACTGGCACTCCTGCGACCGGCTCGACTGGCACTCCTGC